TGGTAGCAATGTCTAAAAAGGATCCAACCGTTGTAATTTAACACAATAAACATTTCCCCACTGCCTTCTTAAGACCAAAATTAAATAAAGGCCACAAAAACTATTTGCACATACACAGACTACACCAATGAAAGCTGGATCCAGAGCTTGAACCCTCCAGTTGCTGTGTAAAGTTGTCCTGTGCTCCTCTTGGATTAATTACTAATCAATTATTTAATTTTCACTGATCTATTCTGCAGTCAGTGAAACATGTTTGTTTGAGGAAAAAAAAAAAAACAACAACTTTGATGTACACTAAAAGGTGCCCAACAAGAAAAGATAAAAGTTTATATCCTTTACTGCCACCATTTTGGTTTACATCAATACATTTGATATAGTTCTCTGGATTGGTTCGTCAAGGGAGAAAAATAAGCAAATGAAAAACCACTCCAGAGGACTAGCTTGACATTTTTTTAATATACCTGGCTTGTTTAGATGCATCAGGATATTTTTTGTTTTCGTTTTCAGTCTTTAAGAAGAGCTCACCCATTTCTGCTCCTGGTTTAAAAGTTTTCAATTATCTCTATAGAAATATAATTTTTGGTGTTGGTTGACCAAAGTGTCAGCAATGTCAGAGAAGTGATCATGTTCGCACTAGAGCAACGTTTTAGCTTCTAGCAAAGATGTAAACCATAGCCATCGCAGCTTAGCTGTGGAGCATCATGTCTCTCTCCCCTTTACTTTCAGTCACACTGCAATGGTGCAGATATCTGAATAAATTCTGCTTCTTGTTCCTCCTGTTATTTCCAACAGCAAACAAATAATTTGGGAGGAAATCGAACAGCGCGCACATGTTGAATTTTAAATCTGTCATATTATAATAAAAGGTACATCTCTGGTATTAGAGTGGAAAATGTGCACCTGATTCAACAAGAGGGGGTTTATTTCCTCATAAAGAGGAAATAAAAAACTGTTTTACAGCGCTTGTTAAATCTCCTGAGAACATTCAGTCCGTCACAGTAACCAAAAAAGGAAGGTGATAAAAAAAAAAAAAAAAAACAGGTCCTTGTGGAGAATCACAATACATTCTCTGGCAAAACAGGATGAAAGACTATCCTGTTCTGCACTATAGATAAGCCAAAACTGTATAAACAATATAAAAATTTTCATATAGGATTAAAATATACCTGTAAATATCTTCTACCCGAGAATCTTCAAGAGGCTAATTTTAGCTTCACTTGGTTAAACCGATATAGAAATAGCCCTCCTAAATAACACCTACTACTATCCCATTTTTAAGCTGTTAAAGCAAAAGTAGAGAACAACCCAAAATAATTGTAAGTATACATACTTGTATAAATAAGACCTGGTGAAACCGTAATAATGTAAGTAGTGGATTTAGCCTTTTTTTATGTTTTGGTTATTTCCTATTCTTTTAGAAAACTGATATATATTTTACTTCAAAATATTTTTTATTGAGGAATCTTAAATAACTCAAAAGTAAAGTGATTGATTAAAAAATAAAATAATAAATTGTTACCATAATCAGTACACTGCAAAAAAAAAAAAAATGTGTTTATATTTTTTATATTTTTTGGCCTAAAACAGTAATTTAAGTTGGTTGAACATTAAAATATAAATTATTGACATTTGAGGCAATAAAAATTGTTAGCGCAACAAAGCAAGCCAGTTATATACAGTGAAACAGTTTGGTGAGTTGTTAGTACATAAATCTTTAAGTTGGAATTCAATACAAGGGACAAGAGTTCTGCAAACTTTTATTTCTTTGTAGTGAAATGCGGGAAAGCCAACTTTCTTCACTTGGCCTCATTGTTGCTGAACTGCCTCGAGCTGGAGTCCACACAGGTAAGTAACCCTTTTAACCTAAAGTCAGGTTTAAATGATATGAGAATGTTATTCTAAGTTGGGTTGTGCAGTATTGTACGTTGTTTAATGGGCATCCTCACTGTGTTGGAAGATGACAACAGAGTAGCTCCTCAAAGTGTTGTCAGTGTTGCTGTTGTGGAAGAAGAGGTTGTCCTTCAAGATCTCCCTGACCTGCCAACTGCTTTTGGTTACCTCTTTGGACCCATCTATGCTTTAAACCTTAAGTACCCAGAAGATCTCAGGCACACATTTGAAACTATTAAAAAGGTTTTCTTGGATCTTGGTAAAAAATCTCTCTGCAAGGTTCAGATCCCCCAAAATCAAACTCCTTGAATGAATCCACAAGTAATTATAATGTTGGGTCTGCAATTGTTGACCTCTGAAAGGTTCCTTTTGTCCAGCAGACATGTATGAATTTTCTCTTCCTGTTTCTCACACTCTATTTTCCACTTTCTTGGGTTTTCCTTAAAGGTGTTGTAATTAAGCTTCAGTGTTTGTAAAATGGCACATAGTATCGATCAGTGTTCATTTTGCATCTGTAGATATTCATACATTTCTGTAATTATTGATACAAATTCAAAGTTAGTACAACTTACAAGAGAGGTAGTAGAATAAATATTTAAAGTAATAACAATGTAAAATTAGAAGTCTTCACAACTTACAAAAGAGTTAGAAGAATAAAGAATTTAAAGTTATTGAAATGTAAAATTAGAAGTGTACACAACTTAATGCAGTTAGTAGAATTAAGGATTTAAAGTTATTACAATGTAAAATTAGAAGTTGTCATGATTGATTTAAGGAATCTGACCCACATGCAGAGAAACCACTCAGAACTCAAGGAAAAGTTTAACAGGTTTATTTGATGAAATATGAACAGAGGTTGGATCTGGCACTGAGTGAACTGATGAACCGGAACTGGAAAGTCTGAAGGGGAGATCACAGAGATAAATTCAGCAACCGTGGGAAATGAGACTGCGGCTTGAATTATGCTGGAGAGGGACTCACGTTTGAGGGGGCTCTTGTCAATCCTTGAATCCAGTATGTGTGGGATTATCCAGAGAAAAGGGAACTAGTTGGAGAGTGGACAGGTAGACATATGTTGGACCCGGAGGAGTAATGTCACTTGATGACTGTCACTTGGATTTCCGACAGTAACTTGAACGGATCATTTGGAGGTTTTCCCCTGCTCAGTGTGAACTCAGTAAATCCTTCCAGGGGGAGAAGATCCAGGTATCCAGTTACACAGGAAGGCTTCCTGTCGAAGAGCAAAGAGAAAAACAACATAAGACTCAGAGAAACAAAGCTCAGGTTAGACTCTGCTAATCTCAGCTTGGCTGGAGTACCTCAAACTGGCAAGCACTCTGGCGTCAAAGTAGTGACAGCCCACTGCTCAAATACTCCTCCAGTAATGAACCAACGAGCCGCAGGTGTCCAGGGAGGCCCAACGAGGACAGGGCACCACCTGGTGGTGGAGAGAGAAGAAACACACAAACAACCCACACAAACTGGATTCCTAAAAGAAGTTAGTACCACTCAGAGTTGAGTTGACAAAACTTAGAATTAAGAGTTAAATAAACTCAAAAGCAAAACTTGAAATGTTTAGTTTAATTGCCCAACTTAAAATTTTATTGAAGTTTGTTGCCTTAAAGTTTTGAGCTCATTCAACGTTTGTTTTTGTTTTTTTGCAGTGCAGCTGCAACCCCTGAAGTAATATACTGATCCACCAGTGAGGTCATAGGTCTGCTCTAGGGTTTTGAATGCTGAACAACAAAAACATGTTAACAGCCAGTCATGAAAAGTATTTTGTACATGCATCAGCATCCGAATTCTTTCTACTGAGACATAAAAAAAATCTTTGTGTTTGCTTTCATCTGTATTTATGTTCTAATTGAAATTTTATTTCAAATACGTTATAAATTACAATGACACTTAACTATTCTTGAATCTTTGTTATCCATCCGTCCGTCCATCCATCCATCCCAGGCCTCACTTGTCCTATCTGACGTTAAAGTGCAAAGTAAACAATAAGAAAGAGCGCCTTTCATATTTGCATGAAACCTTTCAAATAAGGTTTTTCCTGAAAGTCTGAAGCCTAGCAAGACAAATGCTGATATTCATGGAAAGTGAGAATCTTGTTATAAAACTAACACGGCATTTTAGAAAAAAGAATGTCCTACAGAAGGTCGAATAAAATGATGGTAATGAGTAATTCTGAGGTTGCTTATCTTGTTACCACAGTTGATATAAACAGGAACTCTGCTCTCTACCAGAATGTATCCTGACATCAGTGTATGATATTAAACCCAAATACACTGGTTATGCAGCAGGACCAAGACCCGCGCCACATCAACAAGTTAGAATCTGAAAAGGTTAAAAAACAAAACATAAAGGTTTCTGGAGTGGTAAAGTAAAGGTTCTATTTTAAATGCAATCGAGATACTATGACCTTAAACAGTCTGGTCATGTTCAAATATCCTGAACAGTTTTGGCAAATGCTTGATAGCAGGTGGAGCCATCAGTTGCTAGGCTTAGGAGGGATCTAGGACCAGGATGGTTCAGATTGCTTTCTTTGCTTTAATAAACATAATTTAATATTTCTTCTGTTCATAATTTTTTTGAAAATTAATATATGTGATAGTTTGGAACATATAAGAGTATTAAAAGAAGACATCCCCCTCCTAAAAAAAAAAGAAAAATCTGCAGGGTTAAATTCTTTTCTATAGGATTGTATCCATGGTCTGAACAACTCACATTCTTTTTTCTTGATACAGCTGTCTCCAAGTGGTTTCAGACAGTATTTCGGATATTTTTGGCTGAAGCAGTAAAATTATGTTTTTTTTTTTTTTTTACTTCTTTATTGTATCCCTTTATGGATTTACTCCAGACTTATCCAGTCCTATTGTAAGCATCACAAATCCCTCATGAAATCTTGTCCAAGCATTTACCTTTGAACACATCCTGAAGCATCCAGTGAATAATTTATTTAATCACCATTTATTATATTTAACCAACTGTGGGTTTCTCATACCAAGTTGATACCGGATAATGTTTCATTAAGGTGTTTGGTGACATCAACATTTTATGACTGCTTTAACCAGTGTGCTGCTGAGCATATAAGCTGCAATGATCAGGACATGAAGCAGACTGGAAGTTGGGGAACAGTTTGACCATGAGGGCTCTCTTGTGTCTTTGCTGTGTGCTCTTTGCACAAGGAGTGCAAGGTAACATGCAGTTATTTAGAACATCAGTTTCTTCTTAGAAGATAGATTTATGCTATAAGTATCTTAATAAGTGAGCATTTTCTTCTGTAAATCATACCAATACATTTTGAGATGATTGTTCATGCTATGACTAACACTGAGTCTGTTTAAACCCTCCAGGTCAGACAACCACATATTATACAGAAACAGGTATGAGGTTCAACAATATTACTTAGTTTAAAAACTTTTTCCATAATGTGGGTTCAAAACCTGTTTGTTTCATGTATTTTGAATTACTTTGATGTGAATTTATGCTTCTGTATTTTCTGCCTTAGTCAGCAGTTAATCTTCCTACAACAGATTGGTGTTGTTAAACCTCAGTCTTAACCTGTTTCTCTCAGCTCTGCTTGTTTCATCAATACAGCTGTAGTAACCACATGGGGAGCTGAGTTTGTTAGCTCTCCTGTCAATAGGCAACAATAACCTAAACACCCTGTGTGTTCCAGCTCAACCATCATGCCGCTACAACTGTGGAAACCACCTGGGAAGCTGTTCCTGCTCCAGCTCCTGCCAATACAATGGAAACTGCTGTGATGACTTCTACTGTAAGTGAAACCTGAACAGATTAATTGTTGAAAGTGTTCATTAAAGCTCTTATAAACACTGCTGTGAAATAATAGTAACAAATCCTTTATCTCTGTCTTATGCAGCATACTGTGATTACGGCACCACCGAGTATCCTACCCCAAGTAAGACAATCTTTCCAGAGGTTTTTATACGAGAATATTAATGAGCTCAGGTTTTTATACACTGTGATATTCTGAAATTATAAAAACAACCAAAACAGACACCTTTATAGTACCTTGGAAAAGTATTTGCACCTCCTAGACTTTTCCACGTTTTTATCTTGTTGTAACTGCAACTTCCATTACATTCTGTGTGGATAGTATATAATTGATGAAGTTGTCATGATTTTACTAAGGTTCAGACCCAAATGCAGAGGACCAAACAGGGAGACCAGGGAAAAGGTTTAACAGGTTTTATTGAAGAGATGATTCAGAGAGAAGTGTTGCTCTGAACACTGCTCAACCGGAACTGAAAAGTGAGGGGAAGACACAGCGGTTAGTTCAGGCTCAGTGGGAAATTTGACTCGTGAACTTGGAGAAGAGGATTTGGTTGCTGACTCACGTTTCCAGAGAAGTTGTTGAATCCTTGACTCCAGTCTGTATTCTGTAGTTCCAGTGTTTGTCTGATTCGGTGGAGGGCGGAACAGGGTTTACCCAGAATGCGGTTGTTATAGGTGAACGGACAAACTGACTGACACTCAGATTTCCTGCGGTAGCCTACTTAAACGGGTCGTAGTGGAGATAAATTCCTTTCTCAGTGCGAAGCTCAAACGATCTCTTGGGGAAAGTGGATCCAAACCTCCTGTTTGAACCCCAGCTCAGTTTGTAGCTCAGTTGATCCTTTCAGAGAGAGAAGGTCCGAAAAATCCAGTTTGCAGGATGACTTCCTGCCGAGAGGCAAAGACAAAAAACAAAGTTAAAACTCAGGTTGACTAGAACTCAGTTTGACGCAGCAAAACTCACCTTGGCTAGAGTACCCAAAACTGGCAAAACAAACCACTTAAAGCATAAGGATTATGGCAAAACGCTCACCAAGAAATGGTAATGCAGCTAAATTAACAGGCTTTAATCAGAGAATAAAAAGAGAGGAATATTGGAGGAGCTACAGCCCTGAGATAATCTGAGAGGACATCTATTTGAACTTTATAGTGATAAGAAAGCATAGTTAAAGAAAAACCCCACAACGAGTATCATAAAAAAAACCCACATGAGACAGTGGAGGGGGGCAGCCTAAACATGTGGCAGGAGCTAAAAAACGGTTTGCATCATGCTTTCTGCTAGAATGAACAGAACTGAGTCACTCCGACAAAATCTATTTGGGAAGACTTGAGAAATGCTGTTCAAAGAGGGACTCCTTTCGGTCCGACTGAAATTTAGATGTTTAGAGACAGTAGGTATACTTGACTCTATACATGGATAGAGATCGGAGAGACATATCCTAAAAATTAGAACTCTGTCTGCAAATCTATAAAACATTGATCATGGAGGGCAAAACACGTAAAGATTTGTCACATACTTTTATTTATTTCAGTACAAATGATACAGTCATATACACTGCTACGGTATATGTTGCTTAAACATATAAAGTTACTAGGAAAAGCTTTCTTGGGATTGTGACATGGAAATAAAATTTGAAAGTTCCAATTATTTGACTATTTTACAGGCATGTAATTATAAATGACTGTTGGAAAAGCAAACATTGCATACTTTCGTGAATTAATGGACTATTCTGTCCTGTGTCACAGCCCAGCCTTCCTGCCGTTACAACTGTGGTTCTGATATGGGAAGCTGCTCCTGCTCATCCTCATGTCAATGGAATGGAAACTGCTGTGATGATTACAACTGTAAGTGAAAACTCTGCAGCATCAATTAGTTTTGCATCCATAACAAGAAATGGTTTAGCTGCAATAGTTTTCTCTGTGAAATTAAACCATCACTTTATCTTCTGATTTATGCAGATCAATGTGGATGGATCACTGAAACTACAGGTAAGAAAGTTTTAAATCATTCTTCAAGGGAAGAAATTTTATTATTTTTTTAAATGTATTTTATAGGGACAGATTGTGCACATAATATGATGATTAAAATGATCAACTAGGGCTTGCAGTAACATTTCCTTACCACTTTCACCATAATCCTGGCTGAGTTTAAACCAATAATGCCCTTCCAGACACATCTTCTAGTCAAATCTGGGTCTCACAAATTAGGTACTTAGGGCCTGATCTTCAGAAGGTTTTTACATCTTAAAACAGATACAAACATTTTTGCATGCACAGAGCAGATGTTCAAAGCAGGTGCAGAGTGGTTTGAGTTCGCAATTCACGATCCAACACGTGCAAACCATTTTTGTCCTGTTTGCCTTTATTACTATGCAGATCATAGTCTAATGACCAAACCGTAAAACATTCATGTGTGGATGATAGATAGGCCTTTGCAAATTAGAAGATTCATCACATGGAAAGAAATTTTCCAAATTGGAAAAGGTTTGATCATTATTTGATTAAACCCGGTTCAATTCGAGAGTAGATGGTTCTCAGATAGTGAAGAGGAAGAAAGAAACATGTTTAAGCATTAACAGTATTTCAGTCATGTTTAAAAAAATCATTGATATAATGAGGCACGAGGAATTTTGGAAGAGTTACAGCCTTGAGAGAATCTATTGAGAGGACCTCCATTTGCCCACCTAACAATCTGAACTTTATGATGGTCAGAAGAAAGCCATAGCGAAAGGAATGCTGAGCAAAGCTTATGTCCAAAACACTTGAAACTAGATAAGTAGGCAATTCTAAACATGTGGCATGTGCCATAAAGGAATTGATTGTACCATACTTTCTGAAACAAAGACCAGACTTGAGTCCTACAAAATATATTTGGAACAATTTGAGAAATGCAGTTTTAACAGGAACTAGTTTCAGTAAGACTGAGCTTTAGATGTCTTACAGAGAGTAGGCTAAAACTTGAGTCGGCCAAAGGCATATCCTTGTGTCTAAGTAACCAGGATGCAAGATGAGTCAGAGATGTTTGTGTTTTGCTTTATCATATAAAATTAAAACGAAAAGAATATTTTGAGATTCTATTATGAAGATTAAGTAGAAACGTTCAGATTATTTCAGTCCTGATGAAGGGAATTAAATACAGTTCTATTCATTTTATAAAACAATACTGTTTTAGGAGATATAATGGAAACTGGTTATGAATGTTTGTGCATCATGGACGTAAGTGTACAGGTGCGCACTCACCTGTCTCACTGATGAGAGAGTCAGGGTGGGGCCGTCGTAATTTTGTTTGACTGCTTCTTTTTATTTTATTTCGCTATTTTTCCATATATTAATCAGATGACGTCATATCTTTTGCTATATTTATCCCTGCTGCACTGTCATAGCTTATGCTGGTGGTAATAAACCAAACAAAAGCGTTCTGGAAGTCAGCATATCTGTTACAATAAATTTTAGGTGCATCACAAATAGGACAACATAGAGGACCTGAACCAGCTCTCAGCACCTAAAAGGATCTGTTTTGAAGCCCCAATAACAGTCATGTTGATTTTTATATTTAAATCAGAAATGTTTTTCTTTAAGACAAAAGTTAAAAACAAACCCCCCCACAAAATTAAAGGAAGGAAAATAAGCAGATTTGTCTTCTAGCATCCTTAGAATATAGCAGCTTACCTACAGAGATAGCTCAGAATAAGCTAAGCTACATGAGATCCTTTAAGTATAAGCTCATGGAAAGGTAAAACTTTAGATCTGGTCTGGGCTTTAAGCCTAGTCTCTAGTCTAACATAGAGACTATGTCAAAGACTGTAAGTGAGAGTTTGTTCCATGGAGAAGGAAGATCTCTGCTGGGAACACATGGGGCTTTCAATATCTACCATATAATGGAGCTTTATTATTAGGGTTTTTATATCATGCAGAATTTAAAATCTATTTTTAGTCCTGCCATCAAATCATACATGCTGTAGCATTTTGTAACAGAAAACTTCTAATTTCGAAAATATTATTGAGGTTAAAAAAAAAAAAAGGTAAAGTAAATTCTTAAATTATTTCATAGAAAAGAAAAACAAGATGAAACAACACATTTCCAAATTTTTAAAAGAAAAAAAAAATGAATTTAATGAAAATTTTACCCAGATCATGAAACATTTAAAATTTTCTATGCATTTATATAATGTTTTAAACAATAATGGTGGAACATGTATATTTAAACTTTTTTAAATAAGCCTGAAAATAGATGACATGATCATTTTTTAAATTCATTCACCTCACTCCTTTCTCACAGCTCCGCCTTCCTGTCGTTACAACTGTGGTTATGATATGGGAAGCTGCTCCTGCTCATCCTCATGTCAGTGGAATGGAAACTGCTGTTATGATTACCACTGTAAGTGAAATGTCTGCAGCATGCATTATTTTTGCCTCCATAATCAGAAATTTTTTGGTTGCAGTTGTTCCCACTGTGAAATAAATAAAAATAATCAGTGTATCTTCTGATTCATTCAGATATGTGTGGATGGTCCACTGATGGTCCCCAGGAAACCACAGGTATGAGAGTTTTAAACAACCTTCAAGTAAATAAATGTTGTTCTTTTTGCATATATTTATTTTACATGGACAGATTGTGAATAAAACAAGATGAATGAAAATGATAATTAGGGCTCGAAGCAGCAATTAATTACTACTGGAACACATAACAGGTCAATTCTTTTTTGCAGCTAAAGCCCCTTCAGACCCATCTGGGATTCAGTCCTGGGGTCTCACAAATCAAAGACTTAGACTTTTTCTGATGCACCAAAGGGGAATGTAGATACAGACTGATGAAGGCAATTAAATACATACAGTTCTATTCTACTTATAAAACAATACAGTTGTAGGAGATATAATGGAAATGGGGTGCATGGTGTGCCCGGTTATGAAAGTGTGCACATCACAGAAGTAAATATACAGGTGCGCACTCACTTGTCTCATTGATGAGAGAGTCAGTGTGGGGCTGTTGTAATTTTGTTTAACCGTGTCTTTTCACTTTGTTTCAGTATTCATTCATTTTCCATATATTATTCAACTGATCTGATATCGTTTGCTTTATTCATCCCTGCTGCGCTGCCATAGCTTACGGTATGCTGGTGGTAATAAACCAAACAACAGCTTTCTAGAAGTCAGCATATCTGTTACAATAAATTTTAGGCGCGTCATGAATAGGATAACAAAGAGGATCTGAACCAGCTCTCAGCACCTAAATGGATCTGTTTGGAAGCCCCAATAACAGTCATGATCATTTTTATATTTAAATCAGAAATGTTTTTCTTTAAGACAAAAGTTAAAAACAACCCCCCCCACAAAATTAAAGGAAGGAAAATAAGCAGATTTGTCTTCTAGCATCCTTAGAATATAGCAGCTTACCTACAGAGATAGCTCAGAATAAGCTAAGCTACATGAGATCCTTTAAGTATAAGCTCATGGAAAGGTAAAACTTTAGATTTGGTCTGGGTTTTAAGCCTACATGTAGTCTCTAGTCTAACATAGAGACTATGTCAAAGACTGTAAGTGAGAGTTTGTTCCATGGAGAAGGAAGATCTCTGCTGGGAACACATGGGGCTTTCAATATCTACCATATAATGGAGCTTTATTATTAGGGTTTTTATATCATGCAGAATTTAAAATCTATTTTTAGTCCTGCCATCAAATCATACATGCTGTAGCATTTTGTAACAGAAAACTTCTAATTTTGAAAATATTATTGAGGTAAAAAAAAAAAAGGTAAAGTAAATTCTTAAATTATTTCATAGAAAAGAAAAACAAGATGAAACAACACATTTCCAAATTTTTAAAAGAAAAAAAATGAATTTAATGAAAATTTTACCCAGATCATGAAACATTTAAAATTTTCTGTGCATTTATATAATGTTTTAAACAATAATGGTGGAACATGTATATTTAAACTTTTTTAAATATGCCTGAAAATAGATGACATGATCATTTTTTAAATTCATTCACCTCACTCCTTTCTCACAGCTCCGCCTTCCTGCCGTTACAACTGTGGTTATGATATGGGAAGCTGCTCCTGCTCATCCTCATGTCAGTGGAATGGAAACTGCTGTCATGATTACCACTGTAAGTGAGAACTCTGCAGCATGCATTATTTTTGCCTCCATTATCAGAAATGTTTTTGTTGCAGTGGTTTCCACTGTGAAATAAATAAAAATAATCAGTGTATCTTCTGATTCATGCAGCTATGTGTGGATGGTCCACTGATGTTCCCCAGGAAACCACAGGTACGAGAGTTTTAAACAACCTTCAAGTAAATAAATGTTGTTCTTTTTGCATATATTTATTTTACATGGACAGATTGTGAATAAAACAAGATGAATGAAAATGATAATTAGGGCTCGAAGCAGCAATTAATTACTACTGGAACACATAACAGGTCAATTCTTTTTTGCAGCTAAAGCCCCTTCAGGCCCATCTGGGATTCAGTCCTGGGGTCTCACAAATCAAAGACTTAGACTTTTTCTGATGCACCAAAGGGGAATGTAGATACAGACTGATGAAGGCAATTAAATACATACAGTTCTATTCTACTTATAAAACAATACAGTTGTAGGAGATATAATGGAAATGGGGTGCATGGTGTGCCCGGTTATGAAAGTGTGCGCATCACAGAAGTAAATATACAGGTGCGCACTCACTTGTCTCATTGATGAGAGAGTCAGTGTGGGGCTGTTGTAATTTTGTTTAACCGTGTCTTTTCACTTTGTTTCAGTATTCATTCATTTTCCATATATTATTCAACTGATCTGATATCTTTTGCTATATTCATCCCTGCTGCGCTGTCCATAGCTTACGGTATGCTGGTGGTAATAAACCAAACAACAGCTTTCTAGAAGTCAGCATATCTGTTACAATAAATTTTAGGCTCGTCATGAATAGGATAACAAAGAGGATCTGAACCAGCTCTCAGCACCTAAATGGATCTGTTTGGAAGCCCCAATAACAGTCATGATCATTTTTATATTTAAATCAGAAATGTTTTTCTTTAAGACAAAAGTTAAAAACAAAAACCCCCCACAAAATTAAAGGAAGGAAAATAAGCAGATTTGTCTTCTAGCATCCTTAGAATATAGCAGCTTACCTACAGAGATAGCTCAGAATAAGCTAAGCTACATGAGATCCTTTAAGTATAAGCTCATGGAAAGGTAAAACTTTAGATCTGGTCTGGGCTTTAAGCCTAGTCTCTAGTCTAACATAGAGACTATGTCAAAGACTGTAAGTGAGAGTTTGTTCCATGGAGAAGGAAGATCTCTGCTGGGAACACATGGGGCTTTCAATATCTACCATATAATGGAGCTTTATTATTAGGGTTTTTATATCATGCAGAATTTAAAATCTATTCTTAGTCCTGCCTTCAAATCATACATTCTGTAGCATTTTGTAACAGAAAACTTCTAATTTCGAAAATATTATTGAGGTTAAAAAACAAAAAAGGTAAAGTGAAATTCTTAAATAATTACATAGAAAAAAAAACATGATGAAACAACACATATCAAATTTTTAAAAGGAAAAAAATGAATTTGATGATATCATGTTTTAAAGAATAGCAGCTGAACAAGTATGTTTAAACTTCTTGAAACAAGCTTAAAAATAGATGACATGATAATTTTTCAAAATTCATTCACCTCACTCCTTTCTCACAGCTCCGCCTTCCTGTCGTTACAACTGTGGTTATGATATGGGAAGCTGCTCCTGCTCATCCTCATGTCAGTGGAATGGAAACTGCTGTCATGATTACCACTGTAAGTGAAAACTCTGCAGCATGCATTATTTTTGCCTCCATTATCAGAAATGTTTTTGTTGCAGTGGTTTCCACTGTGAAATAAATAAAAATAATCAGTGTATCTTCTGATTCATGCAGCTATGTGTGGATGGTCCACTGATGTTCCCCAGGAAACCACAGGTACGAGAGTTTTAAACAACCTTCAAGTAAATAAATGTTGTTCTTTTTGCATATATTTATTTTACATGGACAGATTGTGAATAAAACAAGATGAATGAAAATGATAATTAGGGCTCGAAGCAGCAATTAATTACTACTGGAACACATAACAGGTCAATTCTTTTTTGCAGCTAAAGCCCCTTCTGACCCATCTGGGATTCAGTCCTGGGGTCTCACAAATCAAAGACTTAGACTTTTTCTGATGCACCAAAGGGGAATGTAGATACAGACTGATGAAGGCAATTAAATACATACAGTTCTATTCTACTTATAAAACAATACAGTTGTAGGAGATATAATGGAAATGGGGTGCATGGTGTGCCCGGTTATGAAAGTGTGCGCATCACAGAGGTAAATATACAGGTGCGCACTCACTTGTCTCATTGATGAGAGAGTCAGTGTGGGGCTGTTGTAATTTTGTTTAACCGTGTCTTTTCACTTTGTTTCAGTATTCATTCATTTTCCATATATTATTCAACTGATCTGATATCTTTTGCTATATTCATCCCTGCTGCGCTGTCATAGCTTACGGTATGCTGGTGGTAATAAACCAAACAACAGCTTTCTAGAAGTCAGCATATCTGTTACAATAAATTTTAGGCTCGTCATGAATAGGATAACAAAGAGGATCTGAACCAGCTCTCAGCACCTAAATGGATCTGTTTGGAAGCCCCAATAACAGTCATGATCATTTTTATATTTAAATCAGAAATGTTTTTCTTTAAGACAAAAGTTAAAAACAAACCCCCCCCACAAAATTAAAGGAAGGAAAAAAAGCTGATTTGTCTTCTAGCATCCTTAGAATATAGCAGCTTACCTACAGAAATAGCTCAGAATAAGCTAAGCTACATGAGATCCTTTAAGTATAAGCTCATGGAAAGGTAAAACTTTAGATCTGGTCTGGGTTTTAAGCCTAGTCTCTAGTCTAACATAGAGACTATGTCAAAGACTGTAAGTGAGAGTTTGTTCCATGGAGAAGAAAGATCTCTGCTGGGAACACATGGGGCTTTCAATATCTACCATATAATGGAGCTTTATTATTAGGGTTTTTATATCATGCAGAATTTAAAATCTATTTTTAGTCCTGCCTTCAAATCATACATGCTGTAGCATTTTGTAACAGAAAACTTCTAATTTTGAAAATTCTGTTGATAAAGCTAAAATAAAGCTAAAGTGAAATTCTTAAATAATTACATAGAAAAAAAACATGATGAAACAACACATATCAAATTTTTAAAAGGAAAAAAATGAATTTGATGATATCATGTTTTAAAGAATAGCAGCTGAACAAGTATGTTTAAACTTCTTGAAACAAGCTTAAAAATAGATGACATGATAATTTTTTATATCCATTCACCTCACTCCTTTCTCACAGCTCCGCCTTCCTGTCGTTACAACTGTGGTTATGATATGGGAAGCTGCTCCTGCTCATCCTCATGTCAGTGGAATGGAAACTGCTGTCATGATTACCACTGTAAGTGAAAACTCTGCAGCATGCATTATTTTTGCCTCCATTATCAGAAATGTTTTTGTTGCAGTGGTTTCCACTGTGAAATAAATAAAAATAATCAGTGTATCTTCTGATTCATGCAGCTATGTGTGGATGGTCCACTGATGTTCCCCAGGAAACCACAGGTACGAGAGTTTTAAACAACCTTCAAGTAAATAAATGTTGTTCTTTTTGCATATATTTATTTTACATGGACAGATTGTGAATAAAACAAGATGAATGAAAATGATAATTAGGGCTCGAAGCAGCAATTAATTACTACTGGAACACATAACAGGTCAATTCTTTTTTGCAGCTAAAGCCCCTTCAGACCCATCTGGGATTCAGTCCTGGGGTCTCACAAATCAAAGACTTAGACTTTTTCTGATGCACCAAAGGGGAATATAGATACAGACTGATGAAGGCAATTAAATACATACAGTTCCATTCTACTTATAAAACAATACAGTTGTAGGAGATATAATGGATATGTGGTGCATGGTGTGACCGGTTATGAATGTGTGTGCGTCGTGGAACTAAGTGTACAGGTGCGCACTCACCTGTCTCACTGATGAGAGAGTGAGGCCGGGGCTGTCGTAATTTTGTTTGTGTTCTTCTTTTCACTTTGTTTCGGTATTCATTCGTTTTCCATATATTAATCGATGATCTGATATCTTTTGCAATATTCATCCCTGCTGCGCTGTCCCTGGTGGAAATAAACCAAACAAAAGCGTTCTAGAAGTCAGCATATCTGTTACAATAAATTTTAGGCGCATCACAAATAGGACAACAAAGAGGCCCTGAACCATCACTCAGCACCTAAAAGGATCTGTTTGGAACCCCAATAACAGTCATGTTGATTTTTATATTTAAATCAGAAATGTTTTTTTCTGTAAGAAAAAAGGTAAAAACAAAAAAACCCCACAAAATTAAAGGAAGGAAAATAAGCAGATAAAACATTTTGTCCTCTAATATCCATGGAATATAGCAGCGTACCTACAGAGATAGCTCAGAATAAGCTGAGCTACATGAAACCCTTTAAGTATAAGCTTAAGAAAAGGTAAAACTTTAGATCTGGTCTTGGCTTTAAGCCTAGTCTCTAGTCTAACATAGAGACTATGTCAAAGACTAAGTGAGAGGTGGTTCCATGAAGAAGGAAGATCTTCAAGGTGCTGGGAACACATGGGGCTTTCAATATCTGCCATTTCAATCTGAAAAACTCAAACGAAGAGAAAAGACAATTAGGAGAAATTTATTGATACAGTTACTTTGTCTTTGGCGATCAGACCTCGGCAGGAAACACAGCGCTTAATTTTGATAGATATGCATGAACAGGAGCAAAGAATAGGGCTGTTTCTCCCCCAGGCCTGAAACTGGTGGTGGAGTGGAGATAGATGAGGTTGGTCAGTCTGTAGACTGCTGGTTAGAGAGACAGTATGCTTAGCTTTATGGGGAGATCCAGTGGACTGCGTGAGCTGATACTAGAGCTTTACTCAGGGCACTGGAAGATGGAAGTCCAGTTGGATAACACAGGTTGAGAGAACCTGTCTATGATGAGCAAGCATGAAGTGACAGTGGAGAGGAAAAACTCCCCGTTGGAAAAGAAACCTCTGGCAGAACCAGGCTCAACATGGCGGTCTTCTTCCGGTCCGGTTGAGATGAGACAGGGAACGCAGTAAGAGTCCGGGAGGAATGACACTCTGATTAAGCTTTAGCTATGAACGTGGAGGAGGGGCTGGAGGTGGGTTGAAACAGTGTCATCTGGGTGAAGTCACACAGCGCATCCGCTGCCTGCGAACAGGAGCAGACAGGTGCGTATCGGAGGCCTTTAAAGATGACCTTTGGATGCCGATTGGCTTTCGTGGAGGTGTGGTTCAAAGCTGATTGGCTGTGTCACAGGTGGATGAAGGAAAGCAATGAGTTTCTTCAGTTGAATTTCCACCTAGGCTTCATATAATGGCGCGTTATCATTAGGGTTTTTATATTTTGGAGAATTTTAAACCTATTTTCAGTCCTGCCTTCAAATCATACATTCTGTAGCATTTTGTATATATTTTGTATATATTACTGAGGTAAAAAAAGATTAAGTAAAATTCTATAATTTATAGAAAAATTTATAAATCTAAAATTTATAAAAAAAAAACCCAACAACATGAAACAACACATATCCAAATTTGTAAAAGAAAAAACAAAATAATTTGATGAAAATTTTGCCCAGATCCATCCATCCAACCATCCATTATCTGACACGCTTGTCCCAATTGGGGTAGCGAGGGGTGCTGGTGCCTATCTCCAGCTGTCAATTGGGCGAGAGGCGGGGTACACCCTGGACAGGTCGCCAGTCCTTTGCCCAGATCATGTAACTTTTCTAAATGTTCTGTGCAGTTATATTATGTTTTAAACAATAATGGTGGAACAAGTATGTTTAAACGTTTTAAAATAAGCTTAAAAATAGATGACATATAATTTTTTTAAAATTCATTCACCTCTCTCCTTTCTCACAGCTCAGCCTTCCTGTCGTTACAACTGTGGTTCTGATATGGGAAGCTGCTCCTGCTCATCCTCATGTCAGTGGAATGGAAACTGTTGCCATGACTTCAACTGTAAGCACAAAATCTGCAGTATCAGCTGGATCTGCATCTGTATTTCACCTTTGTAAACAGTTATTTCCTATTGTTATATATATGATCAGAAAAATCACTTTTTTTTAAATCATGCAGATGAATGTGGACATCTTCAAACTTCTGCCCCCACACCAGGTAGGAGGATGTTGTGCAACCTATAAGTGAAATAAAATCATTCGTTTTTTTTTTCATACTTATTTTAAAGGGAAAAAAATATAATAAATATATAATAAATGTAAAAAAAAAAGAAAAAGAAAAAACAACCCAAAAAACAAAACCCACATCTTCGAAGAATTTTTCATGGAATTACAGAAAAACAAATACACTTGGGATAGATATATTTAATTATGCTCATTTATATGTAACTTCCCAACAAATGTCATTTCAATGCACTTAACCAAATAAACACATCCAGTTAGACACTGAACTAAAGAGTTTACTCAATCCACATGTACCGACTGATTTACAGTATATTAAATTAATTAGATCCATTTCAATTCTGGCTATAAAATAATAAAGTCAATATGAGTGAAATATTTTAATGGGTAAAAAGTTACTTTGTTGAAACACCTTTGTTGTGCAGATTTACAAACTGTTGGTTTCATGGTTTTTGTTTTCATTAGGAAACTGTGGAGGGTACCTGTATGGCAGCAGTGGCACTTTTGAAAGCCCCAACTATCCAAACAACTACCAAAACTACCTAGACTGTACTTGGTACATTAGACCTGGTCGTCAGTTTATTCGTTTGCAGATTTCTGATCTTGAGTAAGTGAATGTTCTGAATAGGCAAAACATTCAGCTTTTCTGTTATATGTTAATTATTTTCAATTTTTTTCTCCCTGTTTGGTTTCAGCACCGAGTGTTGTTGCGACTGGGTTTATGTTTACGATGGCTCCAGTACCAGTAGCAGGAATGTGTTGCAACTCTGCAGCACAAATTATGTTGTCTACCATTCCACTGGCCCCTATTTAACTGTTCGCTTCAGAACTGATCACAGTGTGACCAACAGGGGATTTCAAGCTAGCTACACAAGTGTTGGTAAGATACTGTGGTTATAGTCAATATTCAAAAAAATGTAAGGTGTTGCCAGTTTATACATAATTTGGCTATATTCTCTTGAAGCTGAAAGCTCCTGCCAGTACAACTGTGGTTACCAGGCTGGAAACTGCTCTTGCAGCTCAGACTGTGAATACAGAGGGACCTGCTGTGATGATTTCAGAGGTAAGCAGTGATGTAATATCACAAAATAAACACTTTTTTCAACATGTCCTGTCCAGTACTGTAGCACTCAGATTAGTTTTTTTCATGCTATAGAGAAGCCCAACAGATTTATTTTCACAAGTGGAACATGTGTCCTGTTTGACTGTGTAGTTTGCTTTTCTCTCAGTGCCAAAGGAAGCTTAACTGGTTTACTGTCAAAAGTGCTGCATTCAAGGCTTATCTGTAATAGACATAATTTTGGGGTTATTTCATATACAGTAGACACAGAAATATAAACACAAAGGAATTAGAGTAAAGAATAGCACAAAGCACAAAGTTAAAAGTCAGAGAAGGTCAGTGGTGTCAAAAGTACACACATTTGTTACTTAAGTAGAAGTAGATACTGCTGTTTAAAAACATTCTTGTATCAACTTGACCTCTTTAATCGAGTAAGAATGAAGAAGTATGTGCCCCAAAAACTACTTAAGGTATAAAAGTTTAAAGTCCCCTTTGAAAAAACAGCCGGATGCCACTAGATGAATTGAAAGCTTAATTTTTTGACTATTTCAAAAGATTCTTTGGGATGATGGGACGTCTTGTTGGTCTCGGTCTTCATCTCCTGATACGCTCTCGCCTGTGTCCGACCTTTCAGACATTTCTACATCTTTTTCTGAATCAGACATTGTAACATGGCATATACAATTCGCATTTGCAGTTTGAAGAACACCTGCTTTCTTCTGATGATTTACTTTAGCTAACCAATGAGTGTTTGCCTCATATGACTCATCCAGTTACACTAGTTTTCACTAGATGAGGATGGCTCCAATGATCTGTATTAGATGGCGCACATGACTTGAAATAAATATTTATAAATTTTAAACACAAGTTAAGAGTAATGAGTAACATTTGTTTTAAAAATGTAAGGAATAGAAAGGATAGATACTTGTGTGAAAATGTAATAAGCAGAAGTCAGAAGTAGGAAGAAAAATAAGTAATGGAGTAAAGTATAGATACCTAAAAAGTGTAGTTAAGTACAGTAACAAAGTATTTGTACTTTGTTACTTGACACCCTGGAGAAGGTTATACTAAAAGAGAAAAAGAGAACACAAGAAAACCTCGTTTGGTCTCGGCTTCTACACCTGGAGAGAGATCAATACAGCAAGTAGAAAAAGGCAATGCATATATAACAACATCGCTGAAAAATACAAGGTATTATTTAATACAAAATGTATTTAGCAGTAGATGGAGGCTATTGGTCAAGTAGAGGGGGCAGCCCAAGCTCCAACTTTACTAAGGAAAAAGCTCACAGTCATGTTTCCACTCATGCCCCAACAGGCACTAAACCGTACCATTAGTGTGTGTCTGTGTGTAAGTGTAGGGGGTATTTCACACATCGTGGGGACCACTTTCCATAAATCACTGCATATCATGGGGAGTGATTGCTCTTGTGGGGACCAATACCTGGTCACCATAGATACAAGTACTTTTTTAGGGTTAAGTGAGAAATTAGTTTAGGTTGGGGTTAGGGTTGGGTAGGAAGCTGTAATGGTGAGGTTTAGGGTAAGGGTCACAGTTTGGTTGAGAATGTAGTGTAGAGAGCTTTGCAGTTCCCTAACTTGTACAGGCACTATGTAAGTGCAAGTCATTTACCATTAACACTCAATGTCATTTAAAAATAATTAAACCCTTGTTGTCAAAACATTTGCTTTGAATACAATGCTCTGAGAAAGAAAAAACATCTATTTGTCATATATGCCTGTGTAAATTCTCTGTCATCTGGGGTTGTGGCAACCACAAAAATGTCATGATCGGTTTAATGAATCTGACCCACATGCAGAGAAACCACTCAGAGAGCAAGGAAAAAGTTTAACAGGTTTATTGAGGGGGTAAAACAGCAGTTGGATCTGTAAATCAGTGAGCTGGTAACCCAGAACTGGAAGTGAGAAGGGAAGTTAAGTGGTCAGTTCAGGTACCGTGGGAATCTTGGAAGAACTTAGATTTGCAAGAATGGGACTCACATTAGAGCGGGGCCTTGTTAGTCCTTGAACCCAATCTGTCTGGTTAATTCAGAGAATAGTGCACACGTTGGCGGGTGGACAGGTTGATAGGCGTTGGACCCGGAGGAGTAATTGAGTGGACTGTCACTCGGATTTCCGATGGGTACTTGAACGGAACATGTGGAGGTTTTCCCCTGCTCAGTGTAACTCGGTTTTTCCTTCCAGGGGAGAGAAGGTCCAGGAATCCAGTAACACAGGAAAGCTTCCTGCCGGGGAGCAAAAACAAAAAACTCGTTAGACTCAGCTAAACTCAGCTTGGCTAGAGTACCCAAAACTGGCAAACACTCTGGCCTCGAGGTAGTGATAGTCCACTGCTCAAATACTCCTCCAGATAATGATCCGACAAGCCGCACGTGTGCAGGAGGGCAAACGAGGACGGGGCACCAACCGGTGGTGGAGGGAGAAAAACACACAAACAACCACAAAAACAGACCACACAAACTGGATTCCTAACAAAAAAGGGCTTAAACTGGAGGGCAACTTGACTTTTTTCTGAAGACGTTTCAACACCTCTTCAGGAGCTATCTGGCAGCCACCAGAATTGACAAAGACCCATGGATAGGTGTCCAAAGCATCTTAAGAAGAAACCCAGATGAAAGTCCAGTTGCCTTCAAATTTAAGACTGTTTTGAGTTGACTTTAAAAAAATCAGCTAAATCAATGATTTTAGTCAGTGGAAACTTAGACTTGGATCTCTGCTTCGTGAGATTACACTTTAAAGTGTGCAGCAGTATCTGTACCTCAGTGGGACATCACAGCTTTGTGGTTACAACTCCAAAACAGCTGCTGCATAACTGAAGTAAATGACTGTGAAATTTACCTCAGTCATTCTTTCTTCTTTTCCAGCTTACTGCAATAGCACCAGTGGAACCACCTCTGATCCAGGACTGGACCACTCAACCACCACAGGTTTGACAAATGATGTTATCCAGTGATGACAGTAGTTTTAAAAAAAAGGTTTCTCTTACTCTTTTACACTTTAAAGATATGATTTTATTTCTGCTATAGACCAATACAACCTATATATCACTGATACATTAAAAATTTGTGGTTTAGATTTTGACCCTTTAGCTTCTCCATCTTGATTATTAAAGAAAAAAATATCAAAATAAATATTCAGGGCTGACCGGCTTTTAAAGATTCATTTAATATGAAAATGCAAAGACATTATTTATCTTTATAATAATTTTATAATTCCAGCATTTTATTTACCCTTAAAAAAAAAACAACTTAACAATAAAAACCCTGTCCCCATTTACTCAGTTGCCTTAATTAGCATTATGGCAATCAACTTACAAAGAATAGTAATATTTTTTGCCATGCTAAGGCTGATGTAGAAAAGATAAGCAGTTAAAAATTAAAGTTTTAGTGAGAATAGTTTCAACTTTTATATCTTACAAAGTTGCTTTTGTGGGGACTACTAATCATACTGCTTTGAATAGAAATTACAACCTCCAAAACTGCCTTTTAAGCTCATGACTCTTCAAAACTTTATTTAATAAAAAATGTTAACTGAAATGAATTTGATGAAAATTAATACAAATTTTACCATATCAAGAAACTTTTAAAAGTTTATGTGCAGTGAAGTAAAGAATAATGGGGGAACAGGTGTATTTAAACGTTTAAAAAAAAACTTAAAAATGGCTTCTTATCGTCACAACTGAGGTTATATGGGAAGCTGCTCCTGCTCCTAGTCTAGTTAACTGTTTATCACGCTAGATGTGAACCTATATGGAACCGGAGATTTTTAAAGGAGGGATTCTACTTAAATGCTAAAACTTAAAGATAGTAAAACAGATTAAATGGTTAATAAAAAAAAAATTCTCTAACCTCTCCTGTCTCACAGATCAACCTTCCTGTCGTTACAACTGTGGTTATGATATGGGAAGCTGCTCCTGCTCCTACTCATGTCAGTGGAATGGAAACTGCTGCCATGACTACAACTGTAAGGCCAAAATCTGCAGCATCAATTTATTCTGCATCCATATCTAATAATTCGATGTAATATATGATATAATCACTTTATGTTCTGATTCATGCAGCTTACTGTGAATCAACCACTGAGGAGCCCCCAACAGGTATGATTTAATCAATTATAAAAAAAAAAAAAAAACAATGACTAAAAAAAACACATGCTGTGTTTGCAGTAAACATGCAATATTTTTTATCTTGAGTGGTTGTTATGACATAGGAGTGACAGAAAAGTTAAAATAAAAAAACAATCTTAATCCTAAAAAACAAGATGAATAAAAAATGATAATTAGGGGTCAAAGCAGCAATGAATTACTACTGAAACACATAACAGGTCAATTCTTTGTTGCAGCTAAAGCCCCTTCAGACCCATCTGGGATTCAGTCCAGGGGTTTAACAAATCAAAGACTTAGACTTTTTCTGATGCACCAAAGGGGAATGTAGATACAGACTGATGAAGGCAATTAAATACATACAGTTCTATTCTACTTATAAAACAATACAGCTGAGGAGATATAATGGAAATGTGGTGCATGGTGTGCCTGGTTATGAATGTGTGTGCATCGTGGAAGTAAGTGTACAGGTGCTCACTCACCTGTCTCACTGATGAGAGAGTCAGGGTGGGGCTGTCGTAATTTTGTTTGACTGCTTCTTTTTATTTTGTTTCACTATTCATTTTCTTCTGTAAATTATACCAATACATTTTGAGATGATTGTTCATGCTATGACTAACACTGAGTCTCTTTAAATCCTCCAGGTCAGACAACAGGTATGAGGTTCAACAATATTACTTAGTTTAAAAACTTTTTCCATAATGTGGGTTTAAAACCTGTTTGTATCATGTATTTTGAATGACTTTGATGTGAATTTATGCTTCTGTATTTTCTGCCTTAGTCAGCAGTTAATCTTCCTACAACAAATTGGTGTTGTTAAACCTCAGTCTTAACCTGTTTCTCTCAGCTCTGCTTGTTTCATCAATACAGCTGTAGTAACCACATGGGGAGCTGAGTTTGTTAGCTCTCCTGTCAATAGGGAACATTAACTTAAACACCCTGTGTGTTCCAGCTCCACCATCATGCCGCTACAACTGTGGAAACCACCTGGGAAGCTGTTCCTGCTCCAGCTCCTGCCAATACAATGGAAACTGCTGTGATGACTTCTACTGTAAGTGCAACCTGAACAGATTCCTTGTTGATAAATTTTCATTAAAGCTCTTATAAACACTGCTGTGAAATAATAGTAACAACTCTTTTTATCTCTCTTATGCAGCATACTGTGATTACGGCACCACCGAGTATCCTACCACATGTAAGACAATCCTTTCAAAGTTTTTAATATGAGAACATTAATAAATGTTGAAATAGTCAGACATTGTAAAAACAGTCAAACCAAACAAGTCTATAGTAATTTTTCTGGGTTTTGCTCCTCCCAGACCTCTCCACATTGTGTCATGTTGCAACTGCCAACTCCAATATATTCTGTTTGGATCACATGTTATAGATCAAGAAAAAGATAAGGTATTAATGCGTAGTACAGTATACCTCTGTTTCTTTTATCTCTCATTGTAGTCTTTTGAACACAAATCAGGTAGAACTAATTGCCTTGAGATGTCTCTTTAAGTTCTAAAGAGAAACGGTCTTTAATTTAATCAGATTGTAAATCCAGCATTTCCCTGAAGCTTCCAGTTATGTGTTAGATAACATTGGTGAACAATGTTAGATTGGAGGTCAGGGAACACAGCAGAGAGGCCAGAGATAAAAACATGTAGGAGACTGAAGCAGGATTAGCTTGTAAAAACATTATTCACTACAGATCTTTAATAGCACAAAGATTACACCACAAAGCTCATTAAGTCATGGTAAACCACCTAAAATAACAGTTTAGCCTTGTTAAACCTCAGTTTTAACCTGTTTCTCCCAGTTCTGCTTGTTTCATCAATACAGCTGTGGTAACCATCTGGGTGAGCTGAGTTTGTTACCACTCCTGTCAATAGGAAACATTAACTTAAACACCCTGTGTGTTCCAGCTCAACCTTTATAGTACCTTGGAAAAGTATTTGCACCTCCTAGACTTTTCCACGTTTTTATCTTGTTGCAAGTGCAACTTCCATTACATTCTGTGTGGATAGTATATAATTGATGAAGTTGTTGTCATGATTTTACTAAGGTTCAGACCCAAATGCAGAGGACCAAACAGGGAACTGCCATAGCTTATGCTGGTGGTAATAAACCAAACAACAGCTTTCTAGAAGTCAGCATATCTGTTACAATAAATTTTAGGCGTGTCACAAATAGGACAACAAAGAGGATCTGAACTCTTAGAAGCTCTCGGCTTCTAAAAGGATCTGTTTGGAAGCCACAATAACAGTCATGATCATTTTTATATTTAAATTAGAAATGTTTTTCTTTAAGACAAAAGTTAAAAACAAAAAACCCCACAAAATTAAAGGAAGGAAAATTAGCAGATTTGTCTTCTAGTATCCTTAGAATATAGCAGCGTACCTACAGAGATAGCTCAGAATAAGCTGAGCTACATGAGATCCTTTAAGTATCAGCTCATGGGAAGGTAAAACTTTAGATCTGGTCTTGGCTTTAAGCCTAGTCTCTAGTCTAACATATAGATATGTCAAAGACTGTAAGTGAGAGTTTGTTCCATGGAGAAGGAAGATCTCTGCTTGGAACACATGGGGCTTTCAATATCTACCATATAATGGAGCTTTATTATTAGGGTTTTTATATTGTGCAGAATTTAAAATCTATTTTTAGTCCTGCCTTCAAATCATACACTGTGTAGCATTTTGTAACAGAAAACTTCTAATTTCGAAAATATTATTGAGGTAAAAAAAAAAAAAAAGGTAAAATAAATTCTTACATTATTTCATGGAAAAGAAAAACAAGATGAAACAACACATTTCCAAATTTTTAAAAGAAAAAAAATTCACTTAATGAAAATTTTACCCAGATCATAAAACATTTAAAATTTTCTGTGCATTTATATAATGTTTTAAACAATAATGGTGGAACATGTATATTTAAACTTTTTTAAATAAGCTTGAAAATAGATGACATGATCATTTTTTAAATTCATTCACCTCACTCCTTTCTCACAGCTCAGCCTTCCTGCCGTTACAACTGTGGTTATGATATGGGAAGCTGCTCCTGCTCATCCTCATGTCAGTGGAATGGAAACTGCTGTTATGACTACTACTGTAAGTGAAAACTCTGCAGCATACATTATTTTTGCCTCCATAATCAGAAATGTTTTGGTTGCAGTGGTTTCCACTGTGAAATAAATAAAAATAATCACTGTATCTTCTGATTCATGCAGCTATGTGTGGATGGTCCACTGATGTTCCCACGGCAACCACAGGTATAAGAGTTTTAAACAACCTTTTAATAAATAAATGTTATTCTTTTTGCATTTATTCATTTTACGTGGACCGATTGTGAACAAAATAAGATGAATGAAAATGATAATTAGGGGTCAAAGCAGCAATTAATTACTACTGGAACACATAACAGGTCAATTCTTTTTTGCAGCTAAAGCCCCTTCTGACCCATCTGGGATTCAGTCCAGGGGTCTCACAAATCAAAGACTTAGACTTTTTCTGATGAGGCTAGTCTCTAGTCTAACATAGAGACTATGTCAAAGACTGTAAGTGAGAGGTGGTTCCATGGAGAAGGAAGAGCTTCAAGGTGCTCTGCCGGGAACACATGGGGCTTTCAATATCTGCCATTTAATGGAGCTTAATCATTAGGGTTTTTATATCATGCAGAATTTAAAATCTATTTTCAGTCCTGCCTTCAAATCTTGCATTATGTAGCACTTTGTAACAGAAAACTTCAAATTTTGAAAATATTTCTGAGTAAAAAAAAATAATAATTTAAAATTCTTAAATAATCTCATAGAAAAAAAAAACAAGATGAAAAAACACATACATCCAATTTTGTAAAAGAAAAAAATGTTTTGATGAAAATTTTGCCCAGATCATGAAACTTTTAAAATCTTCTGTGCAGATATATATTTTAAACAATAATGGTGGAACAAGTATAATTTAACTTTTTTTAAAATAAGCTTAAAAATCGATGACGGGATAATTTTTCAAAATTCATTCACCTCACTCCTTTCTCACAGCTCAGCCTTCCTGCCGTTACAACTGTGGTTATGATATGGGAAGCTGCTCCTGCTCATCCTCATGTCAGTGGAATGGAAACTGCTGTCATGATTACCACTGTAAGTGAAAACTCTGCAGCATACATTATTTTTACCTCCATAATCAGAAATGTTTTGGTTGCAGTGGTTTCCACTGTGAAATAAATAAAAATAATCACTGTATCTTCTGATTCATGCAGCTATGTGTGGATGGTCCACTGATGTTACCACGGCAACCACAGGTATAAGAGTTTAAACAACCTTTTAATAAATAAATGTTATTCTTTTTGCATTTATTCATTTTACGTGGACCGATTGTGAACAAAATAAGATGAATGAAAATGATAATTAGGGCTCGAAGCAGCAATTAATTACTACTGGAACACATAACAGGTCAATTCTTTTTTGCAGCTAAAGCCCCTTCTGACCCATCTGGGATTCAGTCCAGGGGTCTCACAAATCAAAGACTTAGACTTTTTCTGATGAGGCTAGTCTCTAGTCTAACATAGAGACTGTGTTAAAGACTGTAAGTGAGAGGTGGTTCCATGGAGAAGGAAGATCTTCAAGGTGCTCTGCCGGGAACACATGGGGCTTTCAAGTATCTGCCATATAATGGAGCTTAATCATTATGGTTTTTATATCTTGAAGAATTTTAAATCTTTTTCCAGTCCTGCCTTCAAATGATACATTCTGTAGCATTTTGGAACAGAAAACTTCTAATTTTGACAATGTTGCTGAGGCAAAAAAGCTAAAGTAAAAATTCATGAACAAGTTCGTAGAATCAAAATGAAAATGAAACAATACATATCCAACCCCACCAAAAAATTAATTTGACCAGATCAAGAAGGTTTTACAATTTTGTGTGCAGTAGTTTTCTAATATTTTAAAGAATAACGGGGGAACAAGTGTAGTTGAACTTTTAGATATAAGGTTAAAAATAGATGATATGATCATTTTTCAAACTTCTTAACTTTTCTCACAGATCAGCCTTCCTGTCGTTACAACTGTGGTTATGATATGGGAAGTTGCTCCTGCTCATCCTCATGTCAGTGGAATGGAAACTGTTGCCATGACTTCAACTGTAAGCACAAAATCTGCAGTATCAGCTGGATCTGCATCTGTATTTCACCTTTGTAAACAGTTATTTTCTATCGTTATATATATGATCAGAAAAATAACTTTATTTTCACTATTTTGCTAAATTATGCAGATGAGTGTGGACATCTTCAAACTTCTACCCCCACACCAGGTAGGAGGATGTTGTGCAACCTTTAAGTGAAAGAAAATCACTAGTTTGTTGTCATAGTTATTTTACAGGGAAAAAAACTAAACACAGTGATATAATAAGTGTAAAAAAAAAAACAACCCAAAATTTTTCTTGAAATTACAGAAAAACAAATACACTTGTATATTTAATTATGCTCATTTATATGTAACTTCCCAACAAATGTCATTTCAATGCACTTAACCAAATAAACACATCCAGTTAGACACTGAACTGAAGAGTTTACTCAATCCACATGTACGGACTGATGAACAGTATATTAAATTAATTAGATCCATTTAAATTCTGGCTATAAAATAATAAAGTCATTGTGAGTAAAATATTTTAATGTGTAAAAGGTTACTTTATTGAAACACCTTTGTTGTGCAGATTTACAAACTGTTGGTTTCATGGTTTTTGTTTTCATTAGTATCCTGTGGCGGGTACCTTTATGGCAGCAGTGGCACTTTTGAAAGCCCCAACTATCCAAACAACTACACAAACAACCTAGACTGTACTTGGTACATTAGACCTGGTCGTCAGTTTATTCGTTTGCAGATTTCTGATCTTGAGTAAGTGAATGTTCTGAAAAGGAGAAACATTCAGCTTTTCTGTTGTATATTAATTATTTTCAATTTTCTTTTCACCCTGTTTGGTTTCAGCACCGAGTGTGGTTATGATTGGATTTCTGTTTACGATGGCTCCAGTACCAGTAGCAGGATTGTGTTGCGACTCTGCAGCACAAATTATGTTGTCTACCATTCCACTGGCCCCTATTTAACTGTTCGCTTCAGAACTGATGGCAGTGTGACCAAACAGGGATTTCAAGCTAGCTACACAAGTGTTGGTAAGATACTGTGGTTATAGTCAATATTCAACAAAATGTGAGGCG